CTCTGTTGAGGTGTTTGCCCCACCGCTCTTCCAAAACTACTCTTGGCAAAGTCACCAGTAACGTCTATGTACTAATAACTCCCACCTTAATTTCACCCAGCACATTCTGTTCCTCCTTCCTCAGGATCCAATGTGGGAGCACCCAGAACACGGTTCTTGGGTCCTCTCAGTTGACATTTCATCATGTCTCATGACTTTAAATTCCATCCTCATTCATCCTGGTGTCTCTAAGGTAGTCTGTGCTTCTCCACTGGGTGCCAGATTCATACAAAAATGTCAACTCCACATCCCCAGTTAGATGCCTAACACTAAAGAGCCTTGAACCTAACAGATAGGGAACTGAGCACTTGTTATTTCCCCCTCTTCATAAGATGGTAACTCCATTCTTTCAGATGCTCAGGCCAAAAATTTTGGGGTGGGGATGAATCTGTTTGGAAATTCTCTTCAGAATACATCAGACTCAGATGACTGCAGCTCTGGTTCACTTGCCAATCATCTCGTGCTGCCTTATTTCAGCAGTGTTCCCTCCACTCTCTCTCCAAGTACCCTTACCCCCTTCCATTCTATCCTCAACAGACACCAGACCCTCTTAACACGGGAGACAAGACTCATCACTCCCTAAGCAAGGCATATGTCACCATTGTCTGCCCTGCCCCTAGAAAGTATAATCTGCACCTAGACGGGGCTGTTTTCTTGTTGCTGTATTCCCAGAGTCCTGGACAGAGGCCAGCACATAACAGATACTCAATAACTATGGGTGAATGAATGGATGGATGAAGCCCCAAGATCAAGATTTCCCAAATCCTACTCTACTTTTGAATTTATTTTACAAGTCAAAACTATCCTGAGCAGGGCAAGGGGACTGGCTCAACCGTTTAGAGCATCTGCCATTCTTGCAGAAGAGCCTGGTTCAGTTCCTAGCACCCACACAGTGGGTAACAACCTCCTGTAACTTCAGTTCCAGATGACCAATGCCCTCCCCTAGCTTCCTCTGGCACTGCAGCCATGCTGGACATAAGCAGACATAAAGATAAAACATCTCTTCACAGAAAAATAAATCCTTTTTAACTACTCCATATAAAATGGTGTTTTCTGTTTTCTCATAGCAGGAGTCAGTCTACCTAACACCCATGTGTTATCTTGTCTAGTCTTCTCAACAGCTCTGAGAGTTGGGTACATTCCTTGTCTAAGTGTCAGGGCCCAGCCTCCACACAGGATCGGAGTTCTCAACTGGAAGCAGGGATCTGGAAGGCGCATAATAAACAGGCACGGACTTTTCAGGTACAAACTGACAGGCAATTTTTCAAGACTTAAAGTTGCTTGATCTCTCTCTCTCTTTCTCTCTCTCTCTCTCTCTCCTCTCTCAACTTGACGCTGCGTGCATGCACTCCACATTCTCCTTCACACACTGCTTTTCTCCCAAGCAGTTTTCTTTTCTCGAACTCCCACACTCCTACACACCTCTGTTCAGTCCCCTTTCACTCTCACACACACTTCACACACTCTCCTCACTCTCCACTCACTCCACACTCTCTCCACACACACAGCTCACATTCTCTCTCCTTCTCTCTCTCTCTCCTTCTCTCTCTCTCCCTCTCTCTCTCTCTCTCTCTCTCTCTCTCTCTCTCTCTCTCTCACACACACACACACACACACACACACATTCTCCTCACACTGTCTCTCGCATTCTCTACACTCACCTCACGCATACCTCATGTGCACTCACTCTCCACCGCTCTCTCGCCTTTAACTTGCCCCAGTCTTTTATTGTCACTCCAAAAGCAGGTAGAAAAAAGACATTGTATAATCACTGCCAAATCAAATTCAAAAGAATGACCACATCCCACAAGCAATCAAGAATTACAATTGTTCCCCAAAGTTTCAAGCTTTCCCTATTCCCAGGCCTGTGGCCAAAATAATAATAATTGCAAACTTATCATTATTTAAACTTTAACTTTTAACTTATTATACTTCAGAGCTCAGAGTTCTGAGGTCAACTACTTGCATTTTCCTGTGAAGTTCTAATGATAAAAGACATGTGCAAAGCTGCCAGACAGTGGCCAGAAAGAATCAAGTTAACCCTTAAGTCAGTAGTTCCGCTAGCTTTCTGCTTCAGTACATTGCACACAATGACTCTCCTAAGAGTCCCAGTGTTTTGACTTAGTTTTACTAATATATAATTTTATGCGTTCTATAATTTCTTATCTAGGAAACACTCTCAAATGTTGTGTGAAACTTATTTCATAACTTCAATATCTTTTTCCTTTCTTAGAGTCCCAATGTTGGCTCTATTTCATTTTCTAATAATTTCTCCAAACTTTCTTTGCCAGTCAAACATTAATTTGGAACTACCTTGGTGCAGTTATTACATTGTTTCCAAGATGAGAACACACAGCATGCACCTGGGCCATTAGGACTGTGCTGTGCTGTGCCCTATGCCTCAATTTTTAATTGTTTAAGAATCAAGGAACATCTAGTTTCACAGAATTCACCAGAGCAGAAGGATAAAGAAATAGGAAAGTCAGATATAATAAAATAGTTATACACATCAAGATCAACTGAAAAGCAGTCGTGAACAAATGAAATCTATACAGCCGTTGTCCAGGACTAAGGTTAGAAGAAATGGGAACAACTTTTTTTTTTTTTTTTTTTTTTTTTTTACAAAGAGCTGCCTGGCTACTGAGATGTCTCCATCCCAGCCTACTGTGGGCAGTCCCTTATTTCAGATGGCAGGTTCCCTAGAGGGATGTGTCTCCTGCTTCTCAGGGTCCCACACACCATCCTTTTTTACAAGGACCTACCGGGCTACTGAGATGTATCCATCCCAGCCTGCTGTGGGCAGTCCTTGTCATGATATGCTGTCCCCAGCACATAAGTAACCATATGAGGAAAGTAAATTGCCTATGACAGGTCTCAAAGCTGGTACATCTCAAAGCCAGGACCTTCAGCCCATCTGATGGTTGTCCCAACTATTGCCTGTGACATACCAACTCTCCCCTGAAAACCAGTAGGACTTACAGTCAGGGACAAATGCAAGTTCAAAGGCTATAAGGGCAACAGAAGAACCATGATTCCCTCAAGTGTCATCAAATGACAGAAAAAATGCCACTTTCCTGGTTTATTTCATGGTCCTGCATTCCAGGCTGTCTCAGGGCTGTGATTATACAAGCATGTTTTTAGCTTCCCATTCTGTGTACTCATCACTACGACTGATACAATTTAGATTTTCTGTGAACAGATGGACAATCTGTTTTAGGTATAATTCTGCTTAATAACATTCATTTATACCTTAAAATCCCAATTGCTGCTCTTCCAGATAACCCAGATTCCATTTCCAGCATCCATGTGGTGATTCACAGCTGTCTGTAACTGTAGCTCCAGCACCCTCTACTGGCTTCTGAGGACACCAGGATACACATCATACACAAACATACATGCAGGCTAAATAATCATACACATAAAATAATGTGCTTTTTAAAATTCTGGCTGAATACCTGGCTTGTGCTAAACCCTGTCCCTACAACATTTACATCCTAAGAAGGGGCAGACATTAAAAAATAATAATCACATAATAGTTTATACCTGTAGTCCCTCCCTTGGGGTGCTGGATCAGGTAGGTTAGCCTGGACTATGTAGAGAATTTCAGGCTACTTATTCTGACCTACAAGGAAAAAAAAAAAACATAAACAGAAGAAACTAACCCCGGGCAGTGGTGGCGCACACCTTTAATCCCAGCACTTGGGAGGCAGAGGCAGGCGGATTTCTGAGTTCGAGGCCAGCCTGGTCTACAGAGTGAGTTCCAGGACAGCCAGGGCTATACAGAGAAACCCTGTCTCAAAAAAAAAAGAAAAAAGAAAAAAGAAAGAAAGAAAGAAACTAACTAACCAATGTCATAAAGGAAAAGGGTGTGGTACTGTGAAATAGGAACAGGAGGCATTTCTAATTAAGAGAAAAGTTGTCAATGAGGGAAGAATAAAAGGAGAAGTAACCCATGCTAAGGTTGGAGTGGATGAATGTCTTTGAGGGAATATGGTGGCAAGTGTGCCAGTAAAACTGATAGTCTTGTCTGCCCAGTGGCCAACTATGCTTTCTAGAGCCTGCCAAAGATGGAGGATGTGAGTCAGCTGGTCTTCACTGTTGAAACCAGCTGTCCTTTGTGTCTTTATATCCAGAAATCCTGAACCTAGGTCCTTTTTTCTTCCTTTAGGAGGGGAGGGGCTGTGGATATAATTTAGGGAACTAGTCACTGAAAACCGTGATGCTGAGGAGTTACTGGGATGGCTCCAGAGCCTAGAACAAGGGGCCAAGTCAGGATCCCAATAGGCAGGTTTTTGCAGAAGATATGCTGGGTAAGGATACAGCTAAGGGCTTTACCTTGGGGTGGGGGTGGGGAGGATAGGGGACAACAACTAGTCACAGGCCATTGATGGCAGTGTCTGTTCACTGCTGCCCTCCCAATTTTAGCAGCATGCATTAGATCCAGCAGGCTGCTGCTGGAAATCTGGCTCTGACTGAAGGAAGGAGTTAAAAAAGCCCTGTTGAAGGCCAGAGGGACAGACCTGTGTTTATCCAGGAAAAGAAGTCAGACGTAGGCAGCAGAGGCCCCTGCCAGCTCCTCCCTGAAAGCCTGGGCTAGGGGAGCAAGCTAGAAAGCTGATCCCCTATGGTTCTGCACTCCTTACAACCAGAAGCCATACGCTGGTATCTAGCGACTGCCCACAGGTAAGGTCTACGATCTGAGTGCATTACTGAGTCAAATATGGGCTAGGAGACGCTGGCAGACTGTTGGTACTTCCATTGTTCATGGTGATTCCATACAGGGGTGCATTGAGCTGCTGCAAAGAAGCCTTCCTGGGCCCGCACTGGGGGTGGCAGAGAATCAATAGTACCTTTGTACTCTAAGGTTTCCTAAGAAAAAAAGATTGGACAGTAGGAGGAACCGCTCAACTGCTCCGCTCCACCTTACAGCCTCGCGATGCGGCCTGGCTGAGAAGCTAAGGGTAAAGAGGTGGGGAGAGGGGTTCTGTGCCTCATCGAAAGAGGGGAATCTTCTTGGACCGGCCCTGGCCCCACATGTCCACAGGTCAGCAATCAGGTGTGTTCCCGGCTGCCAGGAGCAGAAGTGAGTCTTTTTCAGGAGCAATTTGAGAAGGTGAACGGTGATTTGGGGGAGGAGACAAGAGTTAGGTGGGGCTAGCGCCGAAGGATAAGTCAATTCAGAGAAACTGGCACAACAGCCGCCTGCAAAGGGAAGGAGCTTCCAGGGCCCCAGACCAGATCCTAGGTGCAGGACAAGAGAGCCAGTCTACCTAGGGCCGTGGTGACCTTACAGAACTAGAGTATATATGAGCAGAATTAACATCTGGGTCTGTGATTGTGACTACAAATCTTTGGGTTATATTGGTGTTACTCCCTCTAACCCTGAAGTGGGTGGGACGTCCTTAGCAATAGGAAGTTTAAATACTTAGTTAGATAAGGCCTCCGCCTGAAAATCGTTTCAAAATTATTTCTAAGATGTATTTATGTGTATGAGTGTTTTGCCTGTATGTATGTATGTATGTACACCACGTGCATGCCTGGTGCCTGTAGAGGTCAGAAGAGGGCGTTGGATCCCTTGGAACTGGAGTTGTGGATGAGTGTGAATCACCATGTGGGTGCTTGGAGCAGTAGCCTCTGCAAGAACAACAACAAGTGTTCTGAACCACACTGAGCCATCTCTCACTCTCCATCTGAAAATCTTTCTGTCTGGTCCCATACTCCATTTCACCAGTTTCCAGACTTAACCCTTTCTTTTACCTGCTTATAAATACCAGCCCTGTACCCCATAGAGACACAGGGACAAGGCCACGGAGTCAGATGGCCAAATGTTAGCTCTCAGCAGCATCACCGACCCTCGCATCCTCTTCTGTTCTCTCAGCGCACCTCGGGCCAGGGCTCCCAACCGGGAGGCTGGACTTGGACCTTCTCTGCCTCGGTGTTCCATTACCCCCACCCACTGCATGTGGCTCTTGGAGAAAGCCGGTTATAGGGTGCGGACCGCAGAGGCCCAGGCGCTGCAGGCGCATCCCAGCGTGGTTCCCAAGCGCCAGGCCTCGCCCTCGCGCTGCAACCCTAACGTCCTCACCCCAGATCGCATCCCGCAGTTCTTCATACCACCTCGGCTCCGGGGCCCAAGCGGCGCCGAAGCTAGGGTGGATCGCAACCCAAGCGGCCGGAACCTCCCGGTGGCCTGCTCGCTGCCGCATCTGGCGGGCCGCGAGGGCTGGGCCTTCCTGCCCGAGAGCCCGCACACGCGCCGCCGCGAGTCCTTGTTCCACGGGCCGCACGGCCTGGCTGCAGGCCTGCCCCCGGCGCAGTCCCGGCTGCACGTCTCGGCCCCCGACCTCCGCCTCTGCCGGGCCCCAGACAGCGACACGGCCTCGTCGCCGGACTCCTCGCCCTGTGCCTCCCCGCGCACGCCCAGGCCGCAGTCCCTGTCCCCCGACGAGGCCAGCTCGATGGACACCAGTCCGTACGCGCCGCGCCGCGCGCCGCCGCTCTTCCACCTGGACTTCCTCTGCTGCCAGCTGCGGCCGACCAAGGACAGCGTCCTGCGCCTGGGGCCCCGCGGCGGGCAGCTGCGCCTGTCCACCGAGTACCAGGCGGGGCCCGGGCGGCTGCGGCTGCGCCTGGTGAGCGCCGAGGGGCTGCCTCGGCCGCGGACCCGCCCCGGGAGCGGCGGCGGTGGCTGTTGCGTGGTGCTGCGACTGCAGCCGCGCGTTAGGCCCGGAGCTCAGCGGAGCCGAGTAGTTCAGGGCAGCTGCAACCCTATCTTCAACGAAGATTTCTTCTTCGAAGGGCTGCACCCGCCGGATCTAGCCGCCCGCAGTCTGAGAGCCAAGGTGCTGGACAGGGGCGCCGGGCTGCGCAGAGACGTGCTGCTGGGGGAGTGTGAGACGCCCCTCATCACCCTGCTGCCCCCACTGGCTGGAGGTCTAGGCCCTGGGTCCTCCCTGGCACCTGCGCATCTCAGTCTGTAGAGTGACACCACAGCTTTCTAGGGAGGTCTCCACTGGGTCTGCAGCCTTCATTCTTGCTACCTGCCCAGCATGCATTTATTTTTGTTAATAAAACATCAATTTGTCTCTAGCTGCATGCTCTCCAAAAGGCACCAAAAACTCTAGGCTTTGCAGCAAGTCTTTTTCACTCAGTCCACACTCTCAGGAACAGCCCTTTCTTAAGCAGTACTTGTTAAACATGGAGAGCCTAGGGTCCATCCCCCAAGCGATGCTGCTTCAAGATTCCTAGGTTGAGAAGGTTCTAGGTCTCTGTCTTAGCCTCATTTCCGTTGTTGTGATAAACTATCTCCCCAACACACACGCACTCGCGCGCGTGCACACACACACACACACACACACACACACACACGTACATGCGCTAACAAGCAACTTTTACGGAAAAGGGGTTTATTTGGCTTGCAATTCTAGATGGTAGGCCATCACTGTGGAAAAGTTATAGCCAGGACTTGAAGCAGATAGTCACATTCACAGTTAAGAGCAGAGAGGGAGGGAGGGAGGGCTGGTTCAGTGGTTAAATGCACTGCTGCTCTTCCAAAGGACCCAAGTTCAGTTCCCAGCACCCACATCAGGCAGCTCATAACTACCTATCAAATTCCAGTTACAAGGGATCCAATGCTCTCTTCTGACTTCTAAAGGCCAGGTGTGCATACACATTCATGAAGTGTGTGTATGTGTGTGTGTGTGTGTGTGTGTGTGTGTGTGTGTGTGTTCATGCATTCTAGGGATAGATAGATATAGACATAGACATAGATATCTTTAATCCCAACACTCTAGATGCAGAGGCAAGCAGAGGCAGGTAGATCTCTGTGAGTTCAAGGCCAGCCTGATCTACAGAGTGAGTTAGAATAACTAAGGCTGTAGAAAGAAACTTTATCTGGGCTTGAAGAGGTGGCTCAGAGGTTAAAAGCATTGGCCGCTCTTCCAGAGGCCCTGGGTTCAATTCCCAGCAACCACATAGGGGACTCATAACCATCTGTAATGAGATCTGGTGCCCTCTTCTGGCCTGCAAGCATATATGTAAGCAGGATACTGTATACATAATAAATCTTTTTTAAAAAGAAAAGAAACTTTGACTGGAAAAAAAAATAACAGCAATAATACTAATCAGAGCACAGCAGCTCATCCCTCTAATCTTAGCACCTGGGAGGCAGGGGCGGGAAGTTCTCTATAAGTTTGAAGCTAGCTTGATCTACAAAGCAGGGCAGCCAGGGCTGTGTAGTGAAACTCTATCTTAAAAAGAAAACAAAAATTAAGAACAGAGAGAGAAATGAATGTAATGTGAGCATGAATGCTTCAAATGCTTAGTTCACTTTCTCCACTTGCACAGTCAATGGGTCAGTCTTCCACATTAACTAACTGTAGTCAAGAGAATCCCCCACTGACATACCCACAGGCCAGCATGATCTAGACGTCTCTCTTCCCAGGAGATCCTAGACTGTGTCAAGTTGACAATCAAAACTAACCATCACAGATTCCTCAAGTCTTACAAAATCCTGCACTTTCAGAGAGCCTTTGAGTCATGGTGTCACCCCAGCAAGAGCACAAAGCCACCCTTTCCTGAAGGTCCCCGTGTCTGAACAGAAGAAACTGGCCTTTCCTATCCCTTAGGTCAATATTTGTCCTAAAGACAAATGAAATTGTTGAACCTTAAGAGTGAGTCAGGAAAGCGCAGACTAAACACACAGTGCCCTTTAACCCTTCCTGCCTCCCTCTGGCCAGTCTGTCCACACCTGTGCACCTGTGCAGGCGCAGGAAGAATGGCTGGGGTCAAGAACCAAGGAGTAAACCAGCCATGGTGCACACACCTTTAGTGCCAGTACTCATGGGGCAGAGACAGGCAGATCTCCAAGTTCAAGTCTATAGAGCAAGTTCTAAGACAGCCAGAAACCCTACAGGGAAGTGGGGGTCAGGGAGACCACAACACAGTGCCTGGGTACCCAGCAGTACTTGGGATTGTAGGGACTGGGATCTGGGAAAGACAGTGGTGCTGCTATCAGGGGTGCCAGAAAAGGCTTCTCCATCCAGAAGACCAGGGTGAAAGACAGTGAAATAAAAGTGGGTCATCTTGTGTTTACCTCCTACCTGAAAGTCCTTGACGTCAGCAGTGACCTTCTCTCTGCCTCTTCCTTCCTGGGAACTGGTTCCTCCTGGCTCAAGCCAGACTTGGAGGAGGGATAGAGGAAGGCAGATAGAAAGTAGACCCTAGACCAATCCAGTTCTTCCTCCTCCCTCTCAGGCCTTTTCTCACTTCCCATGATGCCAGTTGTCCCCACACAGGATCTGTTTCTTCTTAACAAAAATCTCAGCAGAGGCAGCTACACACACACACACACACACACACACAGAGAGAGAGAGAGAGAGAGAGAGAGAGAGAGAGAGAGAGAGAGAGAGAGAGAGAACACAGACACACACACACAGCCACACACACAGCCACACACACACAGACAACACAGACACACAGACACACACACACCAATCACCCTTCCCAAGTTCCTTTTACCTCCCCGAAGTTCCCACCACCAATCCCCAGGCCTAAGAAACCTTGCTCCAGTTGTCCACAAGATGGCAGGGTTGACCAAACAATCCTCCGTGCTGACAGCAACCTGATCAACAGGTTGGAGCAACAGCTTCAAACGTTAGTTCCTCCTGGCAACTGCTGTAAGGTGAGTGTACAGTTGTTATTCAACGTGACCTTCGTCCTTAGACAGATAATAAAGAATAAAACTAGGTGACATGACTCAAGGTGCTCGTCAGTGCCCGACAGTCTGAGTTTAATCCTAGAGACCCACTTGGTGGAAGGAGAAGCAAACTCACACATATGTAAGTAAGTGTAACTTCTAAAATACGTGTTAAAAGCTTGAAAGGTTTCTTCTTCCTGGGACAATAGTTCCTCAGTCACTTCACACCCCGGCACTTTGTGCTCGCACCTGTGAGCTCTAAGCCCGCCCACATCCCCAGCTCTGTCTCTACTGTGCTGTGCTCTGTTTGTACATCAGCCCTCAAGCTTTCATAACAACCCTTAGTGAGCAATGCAGCCTGGAAGTATCTGGAAGGATGTCTATAGGTCAGCTCGCCCTCCTTCATCCGTTCTTTCAGCAATGGTGGGTGCTATGGGGTGCCAGGCACTGGAGCTGGGAGGCTTGAAAGCAAACACAGGAGTCAAGTGAGTTAGAAAATGAACGAGTAACAGTAAGAACTAGCTGGCCATAGAGAAAAGTAAAGCAAGAAAGGAGAGGGAGGCAAAATTACAGGAGTGGAAAGGAGAGAGGGCCTGAAATCCTATTTTTAGCTGCTGTACGTACTTTGTACCAGGCCTTGCACTTTACCCGCTGTCTTATCTGACCACCACTGGGTAAGGTAGGCATTACTATTCCCAGTTCACAAAGGCAGAAAGAGATCAGAGAGGTTAAATAAACTTGCCTGAGGACTGACTTTGGCTGTAAGGAAGGCTTCTAACAGTGACTCTACACCAACATCCCCTGTCACAACCCAGTCCAAGAATTTGGGGAGTCTATGAGGTAGAAAGCACCTCCCCCCAAAGAATTCTGTCACGTTCCCAGCAGTCAGAGCTCAGGACAGGCACATGGAGTCCCAGCTTCTGATACATACCATGAGAGCAAATGAAGCCTAAGAGCTGGTCCTGTGTGTGAGGAGCTCCGGCCTCAAAGCCCTGCCATCAACACAGGTCAGCACCGTGGTTCCCTCCCTTTTTAGATGTGACAGGATTCAGGGTGCATGGCTAATACCAAGCAGACCACATTGTTAAAGTCTTCCTTGTCCCCCAGACCAGAGCTCCCAATTTTGTTCTTCATAATTGTTTTTTAGGCATGCTCTAATGTAACTCAGGCTAGCCTCAAACTCCATATAGAGTTCCAGAGTAGGGCTAGAGTCAATCTTTCCCTCTCCTCAGCACTGGGTCTCTACAAAGGTACAGGCATGCAGAAACCACAGATGTTCCAAAGAGCTTTGCTTTTTTTTTTTTTTTTTTGCCAAGACATCATCCATTCCCCAGTCATTCTGGGAGTTGAAGTCTCCCCAGGTCTGAAGTTCCTAGGAGTCACAGAAAGGTGGTCTCTAATGCACTGCTTTAGGCTCCAGTTACAGATGGCCCTCTCTGGGCCAAACCAGCCTCTCCATGCTGCCCAAACCCCAGAGGTTTTCTTTTTACCTGCTCCTTGGGTCCTCCCTGGAAGGACATGCCTGTGCTGAGCTTTAAGTGGTTTCTGTGGTTTAAGGGGTGGGGAGGAAGGGAAAGAAGAGTTGGTGACTGCTCCCCATTTCCAAGCCACCACCACCACCCCCTCCAGGTTGTTTGGCCCCTGCTTTGAGATTCCTGGGCCTGATAAGGGGACTGGGCACGTGGGTAGAATGGTTCTCTGATCTCTATCAGCCTCTTCCTTGCATAAGAATGTACTTGAGGAGGAAATAACCCCTGCTTCACTTTAGAAAGCACAATTCCCACAGAAAAGAGCCTTGGTTTCAGCAAGACAGGGGTGAGGGTCAGGCAAGAGCAGGAACATCCCAGGGAGGATAATCCCAGAACCTACTCTGCTCTTTCCCAGCTGAATAAAACCCAAGGTCACACTGAATAACAACTGCACACTCACCCTATGGCCACCGTGGGAGGAGCACATAGTTGAAGCTGTTGGAACAGTTCCTCCTGTGGGTGTGATCTCCAGATAGCTGGGAGCATGGAGAACTCTCTGGTCATGGTGTCAGTCTGAATAGGGAACCCCACCCCACCCCCAGCCCCTACCCCCATGCTGGAGGCAATGATCAAAAGCTGGGTAGGATGGCTTATGCCTGTAATCCCAGCACTCAGTAGGCTGAAGGAACTAGAGCACCATGAATGTTAAAGGCCATCTTGGACCACAGAGTGACATCATCTTGGCAATGCAACAAGAAGGAATGAATGCCTTGAATGCTTAAATGAATGAGTGTGCTGAAAGCGAGCCGCTCTCAAGCCAGGACCCTGTCTTCCCAACCCTCAGTCACGTCCTGAGCACTCACACAGGGTCATAAGTGGTATATGGGAGAAGCAGCCATTCTGACCGTGTCAGGCAGTGCCCA